TTCTGAACAAGAAATTCGGGGGAAATAATAAAATTTTGGATGATAAAGCAATACACATGGCATATGTTAAATCGGATCCTAAACTTATATTCTCTTTCCATGTGATTTATTGTTTGTCATAGAGACATCAGTGATAAGGCATTTTTCTGCAGGGGCAAACAATTTAATACCAATGGAAATTGCTCTTAAAATCGTAAATAAAATCAAAGCAAATGAGAGATTTTGTGTATACATTGTTATCCCCATGTGGCCAGAAGGTGTCCCTACAAGCACTCCTATTCAACGAATTCTCTTTTGGCAGGTAATCTGATTACTATTTTTTAAAAGTACTTATAGGTGTCCTGAGCAATAATTGTTGGCTTGAGACTAATTAGAGTTCTAGCATATCATATGAAGCTTGTTGGGCTGTAATAAACAAACTTCATTTATGCAGACCCCCTTCTTTTGCATCAAGTTTTTCTCTTTTGCCCTCATGAAGTAGGTCTGGAATCCAAATTTATTTCAAATTATCCAATTTTATTTTCAGGGCAATTTGTTTTGACCATTATTCAGATGAAACTTCCATTAATCACTAACAATGTGGCACTATTTGTGAGTTTATTGTTGCATGTTTTTTCACCTGCTATTTTTCTGTTACTGCAGCATAAAACAATGCAAATGATGTATGAAATGATTTACAAAGCTCTAAAAGAGGTTGGACTTGACAATAAGTATTGTCCACAAGACTACTTGAATTTCTTTTGCCTAGGGAATCGTGAGACCCCTAGTGGTGAAGACAACTCTGCTGCAAAGGCAAACAAAAAAGAAGCAAACACTCCTCAAGTATCTCCCCTGACATTTCTCTTGAGTTGATATTTAGCTTTCCCTTTTCCAGAAACTATGTGTTCCAATACGCCTCAATTGTTTCTTCTGGTTTTCTGTAATCCAGGCACTCACTCGGAAGTACCGACGCTTTATGATCTACGTCCATTCCAAAGGAATGATAGTGGACGATGAGTATGTCATCTTGGGATCTGCAAATATCAATCAGCGATCCATGGAAGGTACCCGAGATACTGAAATAGCAATGGGGGCATATCAGCCTCAGCATACCTGGGCTAGCAAACGCTCAAGTCCACATGGACAGGTAAGCCTGGCAAGTTAAAGATTATTGTATTCATATTTCTAGAGGTTTCCTGTGGATTTATGTGTTACCAATGATTCCTGAAAGTTTAAGGAAGCTTGAGAGAAATGATATACCATTCTTAACAATTTTCGACCACAACTTAGGTTGTCTGAATATCCAAATTTCTCTGGCAAAAAAAGAAAAAGAAAAAAAAGAGTAGTCAGATTTCATTGAATTTAGTCCTAAATTTGTGTTCAGTGGCAGCAATAACTGCAAGGTTGCTTTCTTCTTTATCAGTGCTTGAAAAGTCTCTGATACTTGTTTCTTCAAGTAAAAATATGTTTGGGGCTTAGTTTTCTTAGTTTGCTTCAAGGTATCACAATTGATAATTCCCAATGCAAAGATTATTAATCATGTTGCTAGAGGTTGCCAGTACATTTTGTAAATGATTCCTGAAAGTCGAAAGATGGCTGAGAGAATTTTCTGCAGCATGATAGAATTATATGCCATTCTTAACCATTTTCAACCAAAACATAGGAACAGGTCATCATTCATGAATCATGCATATGGAAATTATAGGCGACAAGAAAAAGTATGTAATAATTTGATATGTTTGTGTGATTGCAGATATATGGATATAGAATGTCACTGTGGGCAGAGCACATAGGATCTCTTGAAGAATGTTTCAAGCAACCAGAGAGCATCGAATGCATGAGACGGGTACGGTCTTTGAGTGAGCAGAACTGGAGGCAATATGTAGCCGATGAGACTACAGAAATGAAGGGTCACCTCCTGAAATATCCAGTTGAAGTTGATCAAACAGGCAAGGTGAAGCCGCTTCCTGGCTGTGAAACATTTCCAGATGTTGGTGGCAACATACTGGGGGCATTTACAGCCATCCAAGAAAATCTCACCATCTGATCCAATTCATCAACACCTACATATCCACAATGGCTTTCAGTACAGTTTTAAGTCCAAGTGAAAATGCTATGCTTCCTGCCTCAATTCCTGGTCCATACGGCTTGATACCAATTTTATATTTTTTTTTTTTTTTTTTTTTTTTTTTTCTTACACACAAAAGGCAGGATTTGAACCTACAAGAGCTGTGAATAAATTTTGTTTGTTTTGTTCAATGCTGCACGAAGGCGCATATACTCAAAACCTCTCCTTTTTCTATTTCTCAATCACTAGCCTCTACTACTACAGTTAAGTTTACCAACTTTCCAATACACACCATGGTAAAATTGATGGCTGTTTAATCATGGCCAAGTATAATTTCCCCTTTTTCCTTTTTCCTTTTTTTCCCAAGCGAAATCGATCCTACGATATCTCTTTCATCCATCCGCCAAGCCTGCCACATGAGCTAAGATTGACGGCAAAATGTGAGTTATTTTCTGAGTGTTCGGGATGGGGTCAAACTTGGAATCACTTTCAACATTGGAAAAAGAAATACCACTAAATCGAAGGAATTCGTCGTTCTGATTCCAAATGTGATTTAGAAAGAGAGACAAGAAATAGAAAAATAGAGCTGTATTTCACGAGTAAATGTGAAAGATTGAAAAATGGGTCCTACAAAGCTTTTCTTTCACTGTCACACGATTAACACTTGAGCTAAAGGTGTGTTCTTACTCAAACCACCCATTCTTTTGGACAATAGAGATTCGTATCCCGTTTCACTATCATATTCGGGTTTATTAACAGTGTTCTGCAGCTGCATCAAGGATCATCCTGATTCCTGCCATTATCTTATATAACTACAACCACCACCACTAATTTGGGTTATATAGTTTGGTCATGGGAATTTTAGACCAATGCTACCAGAATTATGGTTTTGTTGCAATTCAAATGCTTGCAAAATGAATTGTGTCAATTTGCCATTTTCATGAAAAAAATTGTTACAATGTGGGATATAGTCTAAATTTTTCTTTCTTCATTTTTTTTTCACCAAAAATTTGTGCGTGATTCGCATATGACCCTTTTGAAAGGTATTTTAGCATCCAAAATATTGATACACTCTTTTTGAAAGATCGCATGCAAAACATATTGGAACAAAATCATGATTTTTACAGTGCTAAAGAGTAATAGAGTCTATAATTCATATAGGAGCCGAGTTGATATAATTTTCCCCATTCAAATTCCACAATGAACAAAAAAGAACAAAACGAAAGAGGATCTAAATATTTCATTTAGTTTCACTAAGAAGGGCAATTTTTTTTTTTTATTATTATTTTTTATCTCAATCACTTTTGAAAACTTAGAAATGCGTGTGAGTTTGAATTATACCACATTGACAATATAGCTTACATTTTAAGGTTCTATGGAAATTTTGGAAGGGCTTGGATCTAGGGATAAGAATAAAAGAAAGTGAAAGTATTGCCAGAAAAAAAGGAAAAGTAAGCAAGAATTAATACACTTTAATTAATTAGAACATGTAGAGGTGACGCTTGCACACAATCTCCATGATGCTTGATGCTTAAATGATAAAATTTAAGTCCAATTACCACTTTAAAAGGATATCACTTTAGTTAATTTAGGGGAATTATGATATGCAAATACTAGGAAATAGGAATCTGAGTCATTTCAGTGTCTTAATTGATCTGTTTGTCTCTTTATTATTGTAAATTTCTTCTTCTTTTTTTTTCTTTTTTTTTCTTTTATGAACTTTATGGAATCATATTAATATTGTCACTTCCCTTGCTAATTCAAACTTACCCAACAATAACCCGATTAGCATTTTGCTGGTGTTCTTTCAATTAGTGAAAATGAAAGGACAACAATCCATCAACTAATGACGACCAAATAAGAATTTAACTTCATCAATGTGCCTCAAGTGTAAGACAACAATCCTAAGAGCATCTTCAGTCCAGCAGAGTTGCTATACTTCTGTCTTTAGCCATTTTCCCTTGAATGAGGGCAAAATGCAACTTCAGCAGACTTGCTATATGGCTCCCCGTTTTGGAGAACTTCCTACTTGAGTTTGGTGGCTCTCTACATAGAGGAGGAGAGAGAAATTGATGGTTCTCCATTTCTTCCTTTTCTCCCTAGGCCCAAACCCTCTCTCTCACCCTCTTTTTTTTCTTTTTTTTTTTTTTTTTTTTTTTTTTTTTTTTTTAAAATTTAATTTTAAATAAAATATAAAAAAAATATATAGTCAAAATAGAGAACATTGCTAGAAGAAATATTTTTTTTAAAAGTAATTTGCTATAATAGCTTTTTAGTCATTTTCGCTAAAATTTGGTTAAAATGTAGAGACTCTCCTGACTAAAATGTCTAAATAAGTAAAACTTAAATTCAGGGTTAAAAGACAAAATATTAGGTAACTACCAAAATTACCACTCGCAATAAATTTGTCCAAATAGGAACTGATCTTTTCAGTAATGAAACACTTCTAGCAGCTTTACATCCACGACAAAAGTTCAACTCTCCTTCTTTCATTTCATTCTTCGAATCATAACAATAAAATGTACATATATCTACAGCTAACAGTCGTTCTTCGAATCATAACAATAAAATGTACATATATTTACGGCTGACAGTCGGCCACACACGATCCCCAAAATTGAAAAAGAAAAAGAAAAATAAAGGGGTGAAGTCCATGGTATGGGGTGTGAGGTCACCCTCATCCTAACCCACCTCCTTTGTTCAGGCAGAGGATTAAAGATACCATCATTGTCCCGAAACACTCGCACTCGGCCACTCCGTCTCTCATCTCTCGTCACTTGTAATTCCTATATACAATACACGCCCTTCACTTCCTTCCTCCTCACAACAACAGACACACCCTTCCATTTCTTCCTTTCATTCTTCTTCTTCTTAGATCCAAATCTCAAACACTTCTTCTTCTCCCTCCCTCTCTCTCTCTCTCTCTCTCTCTCTCTCTCTCTCTCTCCTCGCCATGGGTTTTCCATCCAACGGCGCCGAGAAGCCGCTCAAATTTCTGATCTACGGCAGGACGGGCTGGATAGGCGGCCTTCTTGGCAAGCTCTGCGAGGCCCAATCCATAGCCTACGAGTACGGCTCCGGCCGCCTCGAGAGCCGCTCCTCGCTCGAGGCCGACATCGCCGCCATCAAGCCCACCCACGTCTTCAACGCCGCCGGCGTCACCGGCCGCCCCAACGTCGACTGGTGCGAATCGCACAAGGTCGAGACCATCCGCACCAACGTAGTAGGCACCTTGACCCTTGCTGACGTTTGCAGGGAGCGCGGGCTGATCCTCGTTAACTACGCGACGGGTTGCATTTTCGAGTACGATGCGGGTCATCAGCTCGGGTCCGGCGTCGGGTTCAAGGAGGAGGACACGCCCAACTTTATCGGATCTTTCTATTCCAAGACCAAGGCCATGGTGAGTTGAGCTCATTTGACCTTTACTTTTACATTGCCAATTTACGTTTACGTAGTTACCCATTTGCCCTTGCCCAGTTTTTCTTTATTTTTATTGATTTGGTAAGATCTCCTTTGGGTATTTTAGATCTGGAGATTCTGTTGTTGGATCTGTAATGTCGTGCAATTTTGGGTTATAGATGTTTGTTTTGGCCAAAAGCTTAAATATTTGATGCCCAATTTATATAAGCCTGATGATATTTCACAGATTGGGACCATTGGGTGGGTGAAAAAAAAATTATGAAATGTGCATGTGACACGCCAAAATAGTGAAATTTGTAGTAAAAATAACACCATTGTATCTCTATTTATGACTTGTATAGTATTCACTGCGAGGTGGCGTTTTGATTTCATATTGTCTTAGATCTTTGCAAGAATGCATGAAAGATGGCAATTACTAATTTTGGCTACTTGATGATTCTTGAAGGTGGAAGATCTGCTCAACAATTTCGAGAATGTCTGTACTTTGCGTGTTAGAATGCCGATTTCATCTGATTTATCCAACCCGCGTAACTTCATCACGAAGATCACTCGATATGAGAAAGTAGTGGACATTCCAAACTCCATGACGATCTTGGATGAACTACTTCCCATTTCGATTGAGATGGCGAAGAGAAACCTCACCGGAATCTATAACTTCACAAACCCTGGAGTGGTCAGCCACAATGAGATCTTGGAGATGTATAAGGAATACATTGACCCCAGCTTCACATGGAAGAACTTTACTCTTGAGGAGCAGGCAAAGGTGATTGTTGCTCCCAGGAGCAACAATGAGCTCGATGCCACTAAATTGAAGCAAGAATTCCCTGAACTCTTATCCATCAAGGAATCTCTCATCAAGAATGTGTTCAAGCCAAATCAGAAGACTGCCAAAGCTTAAAAACTTTTTTAGGTTTGAATTTTTGGTTTCCATGTTTCGCTCAATTGAATTCAGTTCATGTGGGTTAATGTGATCTCTCCACTATACAATACAGCTCCTTCTCCCAGGTGGCCTGCACGTCTGCCTTGTTTGTATTGGAATGTTGTATTTGAAATAACTGGATCAGTCAATAAACTAGTTGGAAGTGATGTACCAAGTTGAATTTTTTTTGTAAGTTATTGATGATGTATTTATGGCTTTTAAATTTAATGAGCAATATTTTAGACTTTCGATTCCGTTGATCCGTGACCGATGTAATTTTTCAATCCGCTTTTTATTTATTTATTTGTTTTAATTTTACATGAAGGCCTTAATGATATACTTGGTAGGCAGCAAAATATACTGACTGCAGAGCCTTTTTTATATTTTAAAATTGTTATATGTCAAGTGTCCTTGGTTGTTCTTCGAATGTGATGAAAAAGAAGGGCAGAGGACATATGCAAGCAGAGAATATTATTTTGCGTTTTTATTTCAGTCTTGCAGAGATACTACAGGATGGCAATTCTGATATAAGTTAAAAGGAGAAATCAGTTAAAGACAGTGCAGGGTTGGAAATTAGTTGCGTCCAGGGATCCCATTTCCGTGATACAAGGAGGAACCTTTGAAGCTTGGTCTTTTCTCAAGTATGGAGTTGGAGGGATAAGCAGCACCAGGGAGGATTGTGTATATAACAAATGGACTTCTCACCACATGGGCCCCATCTGTCAAAAGGACTGCACCAGATACAATTGGCTGCTGTGAAATCGGCGGACCACTTACCTTCACAGTGAACGATTTCTTCTCGCCAACGGCAGAGAAAGACAGGGTGGATGGTGTTACAGAAACCCTGGAGTAGGGAGTGTATGCATTAATATAATAGGTTGAGTTTGGTGAGCCAACATTGGTGACTGTTCTGGTAAAGACAGCGTCGATCTTTTGGCCATCTTCAACTGCGAGAGAGAATGATGGATAGTTGAGATCCCACGCTCTTCCTGGCTTTGTTCTGCCACAGCTGCTGCTGTTGTCACCAGTGATAAGCTTTAATGTGGTTGTATTGTAGCCCTGTTTGCAGAGGAAATGTACATAGTCTGCTTCTGATGCATCAAAGACGAGCCCAGGTTTAACTGCTTTCAGAGGGTTGATATGACCAGAACCATAAGCAAATTCGAGTTCATCGTTCTTCTTTGGGTCCAGGACATGAGCTATTCATGGGGAAAAAGTATTGGTAGTTTAATAGAGAGAAGCACATTGTTCATAAGTTAAAGAGAACATACTAGGGACTTGTATGTTTTTCCCAAAATGAAAACATGCATATAGTCTGTTCATACCTGTGGTCATGAGGGCAGATTTGATTGCAGCAGCTGACCATTTTGGATGGGCAGCCTTGACATAGGCAGCAGCCCCACTGGCATGAGGGCAGGACATGGAAGTCCCAGAGATGATGTTATATTCGACACTCCTGGTGTCTTCAAAGTCAATGGAAGGCGGTGCCACTGGAGACCAAGCAGCAAGTATATCAACACCAGGGGCAGTGAGATCAGGCTGTACATCATTTCACAATTTCAGTAATATATAATATAATGAGCTCAGAAGCATACTAGGAAAATGATGATGAGAATCATGACATTCAAATTTTTGTCACCTTGAGAATATCTGGGGTTATGGGGTTGGGTCCTCTGGAAGAAAATGATATAATGTATGGTGCCATGACATCCTTGTCCGTCTCACCAACCAGAATTGTTGCAACTGGATTCCTGAAACAGGTTGGTTTTTTCTTTCATTAAAATGGTGCAGATAAGAGACTTTCATAAAGTTGGTGATGCCATCCGTTACCCTGCGAATAGAAAATTGTATAAGATTATACTTACTCTGTTGATCTGATATAGTCCAAAACTCTTTGACCATCTTCTGTGGTGATCACTGTTGCTGATAACGGGAAACTGAATGCAAAATCGGTGAATAACGAATCAGCCATAATTGCACCCACACCATCAGCTGACAGAATGCCAGCACCATCCCCGATTCTTTCGCAGAAAACAATCTTTCCCTTTACTTTGTACGAATTCATGGCCCCATGAAAACATTGGCTTGATATCACTGAGTTAGCACCTGCAGAGAAGTTTGCAGCATCTCCTCCCCAAATTAAGGGATACGACTTCCCATTAAGGTCGAAATTATTAACAGAAAGTCCCTGCATTAAATCATTGTATGGTATAAGATGACTTGGAATGATACAGCTAGATATCTAAGTGTAGACTGTCAAACTCACAGAATAAATTTCTCCATTTCCAAGAACTGCTTTCGCTACAAATCTTCTATCAATGGTGCTGGCAGCAACGGTCAAAATCCAAGGTGCATAATTAGAAACTGTTGCTGGAAAAGGCCCGGAGTTTCCAGCAGAACTTGAGGTCAATATACCGTATTTCATGGCGTGGAATGACCCAATAGCAATAGGGTCTTCTAAATATTCAAGTGGAAAGGGAGCGCCAAGTGAAGTGGATATAATATCAACTCCATCTGCTATTGCATCATCAAATGCTGCAAGGATATCTGCAGAAGCACATCCAGATGCCCAACAGACTTTGTACACAGCAATCCTAGCATTGGGGACTCCACCTCTGGCGGTTCCAGCAGCTAGCCCAAAGTAACTTGCTGGCACCTCCCGGCCTGCGGCAGTCGAAGCGGTGTGGCTTCCATGTCCTTCAGAGTCTCTTGGCGATTTGATGTCAGTGGTGTCATAGTTGTCTTCGCTGTTGTAGTAGCGGGCTCCAATGAGTTTGCTGTGATGTCAAATGTTACATCAGTTGTGATTAATATGAGCCAAAGAACAACATTTGTACACAAGAGTGCTATATGTTATTATGACAAATCTTTCATATTTCTTGCTTTGCTTATTTGCTTTGCTGTAATAGCATCTGAAACTTATAGCAGTTCAATGCATTCAAATTGATCTTTTGAGGAGGAAGAGAGCTCACTTGTTGCAGGTGAAGTTGGCACCTGTGCATTTCCCCTTCCATTTTGAAGGTGGAGGGCCAAAGTCATCGTCGTTGAAGCTATCGGATTCTGGCCAGATTCCTATAAAACCAAAGACAATTAGAACGTATTTGAATTTTTCAAAAAGATGATTGTGAGTTTTTCTTTATCTCGTAAGTGTTACCTGTGTCTAGAACCCCAATAATAACTTTTCCTTCTATAGGTGCTGGAAGTGTGCCTTTGCTGAAACCCATGAAGTCCCATGACCTTGTTGTGTGAAGCTTTAGCTTGTGGTTTGGAAGAACTGAAACCACACCTTCCATTTCTGCAACCCATGTTTTCTTATTCTTAGCTTTGAAATGTATTTAGAAAAAGTGCACAAAGGCTTGAGATCTTTGCAACTTTATTGCATGTTTTTTAGCAAGGCAATCTCACCTGATAACTTTGCAACTTCTTCATCAGATAATCTTGCTGCAAATCCATTAAAGCTCTTCCCATAACTATAGATCAGTGAGTCCTTGGCTGACGAAGTACTGCGATTGAGGAAACACAAATGCTTGAGATATTTCAAATGGAAAGTGCATTTGCCTATGATGCAAAGCTTTCTGTTCTTTCTAGCCATTATGAATTATGATCACCCATTTGAGTGTTTGACAATGTGCCAATGTTCATAAAAAAAAAATGCCAAGTTATGCTAGTCTTAAATAGTGTCACTAACCTTCCAAGCACAGTTTCCAGCATTGAATGGTGTGTGGAAGCAACAGAAAAATCCCCCTTAGGCCGCTCTCCCATGTACACGATATGAACCTATACCGCAACAGATACAAATTTTGTGATCAGTAAAATGCTGATATACAGGTCTATTTTACACATAAGAAAACGAAGACTCTGTATACCTTTCTCTCTTGGCCATGGCAAGCTAGCACAAATGCTGCAAGCAACAACGCATATGGAAGAAAATGCAGCATTGCCTTGGCCATTGGTACCAACTGAGTTCAAGTCTATAAGTTGATATGTTTGATAAGAAGATCCAAGTGGGTATTTATAGAAGCTCAAACTTTGAAGATTGTAATGTCTACGGACTGCAAATTCCATCGTAGAGATCAATGGGGGCAGGCCTGACTTTGTTGCTTCTGGTTTTGTAATTGTCGCCTTAGAAACCTGTTGTTTAAGGAAACACAACGACATTGTTATGAGTAATGCTATATAATACGGACAGAGATTCCCTCTACATGACGTCCCTTTTTCTTTCTTAAAGAAAAGAAACATCATGAAAACCTCATTTTAACTCAATTTTCTTCAAATTCAACTCCATGTCGTGACTGGATTAGGATATAGAATGACCCTTTAGAGCTTCGATTTTAGGTTTTAAGTCTCATATACTTAAGTAAAAATAAGATTTTCTCAACGTGCGTCCATTATGTTCTAGATAATAAATGATAACATGTATACCATGCATCCTTAATTGTAGACCACGTTCATTACATACAGTGGATGTTGTAAAAAATGTAACCATTAATATAACCAATACAAATAGTAAAAATAATTTTGTTCCATTATTTAAAGGAATATGTGCAAAATCAACAAAAACATATTGCCAATTTGCCCATAAAAGACCAAAATAAAAGGTTAAAAGGTCATTGTTATCTCAATCCATGTATTTAACTTGCTGTAACGAGTATTACTAGGTGATCGTCTATGACTCTAGTGAAATTCACTTATTACCAAATATATTTGACAAGCTTAAAAAATGTGATCTTTTTAACATTATTCTTATTTTTTTGTTTTCTTTATTTATTTATTTTTGGGGTTATTTGTAGAAATGGTCCCTCAATTATACTTGGAGTTACATTTTGGTCACTCAACTCAAATATTAGTTGCAGAAGTTATTCAATTGGGTGTTGTGTTGCACCGTTAGTCCCTACCGTCAAGTCTCTCTAACTGTAGGGACTAATGGTGCAGTACAACACATAATTGAGTGACCTCTGTAAGTATTTTTGGAGTTGAGTAACCAAAATGTAACTACGAGTATAGTTGATGGATCATTGCTACAAATAATTCTAACTGAAAAGTCACATTTGCCCATCAATAATCTAAGAGACGCTTGTCACGTCATCATTTTAAACAGAAAAAGTCACAGACTTTACGGTATGGACTATTGGTGCAACACAACACCTAATTAAGTGACATCTGCAACTAATATTTGAGTTGAGTGACCAAAATGTAACTTCGAGTATAATTGAGGGACCATTGCTACGAATAACCCTTATTTTTTGTTATTATAATACTTGAACCCACAATCTCCCATTCCAATCCCACTTCAAAACCATTTGAGGCTCTCATGGGTCCCTCAAAACATTGTTGTCACTTGCAAGTAAGCTTTCCCAGAATACAAATAAGCTTTTACTTCGGGTGCGGCACCGTAAGTTCTTCCAATTTGAGATTTGGATCTGACGCGCTTTTAATAAAAGTAACCAATCTCTTCCTAATTTTTTTTTTTAAAAAAAAAAACTTTTGTCTCTCTCATTTTTCCTTGTTATTATCAAGTCAATGTTTTCAATCTTGTCTCATTTTTGCAATAATTAATGTTTCCTTGATCAACTCACCGTCCCTTGACTGCAATTTAGTGGATATAATATATAGTTATGTACATATCACTTTACAATTGTGGGCTCCATTCAACATGGGTAAATTAATGAGGAGCTTTGGATATAAGGAGATTCATCCTTCATAAACTAAACCAGAATTATGAACATATTTATTGATCTAAACCAAATTTGTAATTAATTTGCTTCAAACATATGATTTATGTTTAGCATTTCATTACAAATATATAATACAATCCATCGATATTATGAAAAGCTTGCACTCAATATGGAGAACTTGAGAGTCTGGAAACTATTAGTGTCACTAGACCAAATAATCATTAACAGTTTCTTGCAGTTAATGCATGTACTTGAACGTTGAGCGTTGATCACATACATGTTAACATAATTTTTCTGCAACAAGTGATATATTATGTTCATCTACGAAATACCATGAATGTTGTGCAGCATGGTAATACAATAATTTTCCTTTTTTTCCACATTATATTTGATTTTGATTATAGTATTTCATCAATTGATAGTACAACTAAAATTGAAATACAGCTCACAATTGGACAAATAAGCTAAAACCAATGCTGCTATACAAGAGTGCACTGGGCCTTATTATTTTTACAATTATTTTCAAACCAACTTGATTAATTGGATGGAATTAAGAACATTTCTAGGTGTGCCTGAGCATCCCATTTCTGTGATACAAGGAAGAACCTTTGAATCTTTTCTTGTTCTGAGAGGCAGAGGATGAGATATGAATAGAACCAGGCAAGAATGTGTAGACAACAAGTGGGGCCCTCACTTGATGGACCCCATCATTCAATACAATTGAACCAGATATGATTGGCTGCTGTGAAATCTTTGGACCAGTTACCTTCACAGTAAATGATTTCCTCTCACCAACAGAAGAGAAAGAAAGAGTAGATGGTGAAACAGAAACTGTGATTGTGGAGTGGGGTGAGAATGAGGCAATTGTATAATTTGAGTTTGGTGAGCCAACATTGGTGACTGTTCTTTTGAACTCAGCTTTGATCTCTTGGCCATCTTCAAGTTGAAGGGAGAATGAGGGGTAGTTTAAATCCCAAGCTTTGCCTGGCTTTGTGCTACCACAACTACTGTTCTTGTCACCAGTGATGATCCTCAATGTGGTGTTGTTGTAGCCCTGTTTGCAAAGGAAATTTATGTAGTCTGCTTCCGATGTGTCGAAGATAAGGCCAGGTTTTACTGCTTTCAGAGGATTTATCTGACCAGACCCGTAGGCGAATTCGAGGTCTGCATGTTTCTTTGAATCCAGGACAGTAGTTGTTCACGGGGAGAAAAAATTAAGGGTAGTTTGATAGAGAAATGAGACCTAGGACTTGAGCTAGTGCAGTTTTATGACATAAAATTACACTATTTGTCCATGTAGTTTGTTGAGTTTTCCAGTTATATCTCTAGTTTAACTTTTTAAAATTACTAACTCTGTCAACAGAGGTTGATGAGGTTGTCAACCCTAAATTCCCATGTTTTCAATGTAAAAACCCTTTCAAATCCATGTTGGGAGGCTTCAAAGGCACACAAAATAACAAAATACCCTTACTCGTGGGAAGCACGCGATGCACGGGTTGCGTGTTTTTCAACTACTGAGACGAAAGTGAAAATCCAAGCAAATTATAGGGACTAAAAGTAAGGCACACTACTCATGATTAGAAGAGGAATGCAGTAAAAATGAGTACATGTGTATGTAGTTAGACTGTTGATACCTGTGGTCATGAGGGCAGATTTGATTGCAGCAGCAGACCATCTTGGATGAGCAGCCTTGAGATAGGCAGCAGCACCACTAACATGAGGGCAGGACATGGAAGTCCCTGAGATTATGTTGTACTTAACGCTCCGTGTGTCCTCATAGAAGGTCTCGGAAGGTGGTGCTACAGGAGACCAAGCAGCAAGTATATCCACACCAGGGGCAGTGAGATCAGGCTGTGTACATCAATTAATCCACAACCTCAACATATACACATATCTATAGGAAAATGAATAATTGAGATTCATGGAATTCATTTTTTTTGTCACCTTGAGAATATCCGGGGTTAGAGGGTTAGGTCCTCTAGAAGAAAATGATGCAATGGATGGTGCCATGACATCCTTATCATGCTCAGGATCAGAAACCAGAATTGTTGCAATGGGGTTCCTGAAAAAGGTTGGTTTCATTCTCCATTCATGAAAATGAAACTTAGAATGATTTAGAGCCAAGTAAAAGATAACAATGCTTACTCTGTTGATCTTATATAGTTCAAAATTTTCTGTCCATCTTCTATTGTGATCTGTGTTGAGGGTAAGGGGTAGTTAAATGCAACATCAGTGGGAAAGTCAACCATAATCGTACCCATGCCGCCAGCTCTTCGAATGTCAGAACCATCCGAGAAGGAATCACAGTAAACAATCTTCCCCTTGATTTTGTCTGAACTCAGGGTGTTAGGTACACAATTGCCTGCAAACTCTGAGCTTGCACCTTTGGAGATGTTTGCAGCATCTCCTCCCCATATTAAGGGATATGACTTCCCATTTAGGTCGAAATTATTAATCGAAAATCCCTTCATTTGCATGGTATGTTGTATTAGTAAGATGATACAGCAGTAAGTATTTGTACCATCTCAACTAACCATCTAGTATGTGTCTCGTCTTTAGTACCGTACATGGTCAGTTGAGATAGTACAAATATCTATCAGTAATGTAATTTTAGAGTTTCAAACTCACAGAGTAAACTTGTCCATTCCCAAGAACAGCTTTTGCAGTAAATCTTCTGTCAATGGTGCTGGCAGCAACAGTCAGAATCCAAGGTGCATAATTGCTAACAGTTGCCGGATAAGGCCCATTGTTTCCTGCAGAACTTGATGTCAATATACCCTTTTTCATGGCGTGGAAAGACCCGATCGCTATCGGGTCTTTTAGGTATTGGATGGGAACATCAGAGCCAAGTGATGTTGATATAATGTCAACTCCATCAGCTATTGCATCATCAAATGCTGCAAGGATATCTGCAGTAGCACAATCTGACAACCAGCAAACTTTGTACACAGCAATTCTAGCACCGGGGACACCACCTCTTGCCGTCCCATTAGCAAGCCCAAAGTAACTTGCTGCTACCTCCCGGCCTGCAGCAGTCGAAGCAGTGTGGCTTCCATGTCCTATGGAGTCTCTTGGTGAATGGAACTCGCTGCTATCATATTCGCCTTCACTATTGTAGAACCGGGCTCCAATGAGTTTGCTGTGGCATTTTCAAGTGTTACATTAGTTGTGATCAAAGATGAGCCAAAGAACAATCAGCTGCACACAAGAGTGCTTTATGTTTATTATGTCAAGATCTCTAGAGACTCCCTTTACATAGTGCTTGAACTCTCCTCGAGTAGTGCTCAAATCCTTTCGAGGGTAAAAAATTCAAGAGGAATAGAATGAGGAGCAACAACCAGTTTTATAACAGGACAGCTGATGATGTTCAATGCTATGTTATGTTTGAAAATAAATCTTTTCGGGAGCAAGAGAGCTCACTTGTTGCATGTGAAGTTGGGGCCTTGGCATACACCCTTCCATTTTGGAGGCGGAGGTCCAAAGTCTTTGTCATTGAAGCTATCAGATTCCGGCCAGATTCCTATGAAACCAAAGACAATTAGAAGGTTTTGGAATTTTTCAAAAGGAGATGAATGTGAATTTTTCTTTAACTTATCTCTCAAGTGTTACCTGTGTCTATAACCCCAATAATAACTTCTCCTTCTATACTTGCTCCAAGTTGGCCTTTGTTGAAACCCATGAAATCCCATGACCTTGTTGTGTGAAGCTTTAGCTTGTGGTTTGGAATGACTGAAACTACACCTTCCATTTCTGCAATCCATATGTTTCATATTTTTCTTTCTTAGCCTTGAAAATTGAAATGTATTGAGAAAACAAAAATGCTCGAGAACTTTCGAACGCATTTTCATTCCTTTTGTAGCCAATTGTTTTTGGAAATCTCACCTGACAACTTTGCAACTTCTTCATCTGATAATCTTGCTGCAAATCCATTAAAGCTCTTCCTATAACTATAGATCAGTGACTCTTTTGCTGACAAAGTGCTGCAATTGGAGAAACACAAATTCTCAAGATATTTCAAAATGTATGTGTTATGACAAAATGCCACTTTGGAAAAACAAAAATAACCAACTAGCATTTAATCTAGTGGTACGTTTCTTGCCAACGCTGAAAGAGGACCCAAGTTCAACTCCATCCCCCCCAACTTATCAAAAAATAACCCAATTTGGGATGAACTTTAAGTAGTGTTGTAGATAACCTTCCAAGTGCTCTTTGTAGTATTGAATGATGTGTTGAGGCAACAGAAAAGCCTCCCTGAGGCCGATCTCCCATGTACACAATGTGAACCTATACACAAATAAATACAAATTTCATCAGAAAATCAATAAAAATGCATTTCCAATTCTCAAATTAAAAATAATTTGTGTACCTTTCTCTCTTGGCCATGGCAAGCTACCACAAATGTTGCAAGCAACAAAGCATATGGAAGAAAATGCAACATTGCCTTGGCCATTTGGTGCCAAGTAACTCAATGTGTACAAAGTTAATATGTTTGATAAGATCCAATTAGTTTGGTATTTATATAAGCAAAAACATTTGAAGATTGTAATGTCCACAGGCGGCAGATTCCCCTTGTACGTACAACTCAGTTAGCGCAGGCTAGTTCTTGCTAGTTCTGTTTTTGACAATGTTGCCAAACGACGGTTAAAACAACAATGTTTGAGGAAGCACATTTGCCTTGCATTACAGCTCACAAAGTACCCTTCAAGAAGCACATTAATTTATAAGGCAAATGATGTTTACCTTTTACATCAATTATTAAGGCAAGTTTTTAATTGACACATGAACTAAGGGTCACTTTGCACCTCTCTGATTTTTTGTTAGTGATAGTTTAGTCCCTATCTTTTAGTAATTGATAAAAACAAAGTTATGAATCTTTACATCAATTGACCTAGTTTTCGCTTATATGAACAACATATTGATGACACGTAGATTAATAATTTGATAGACATATGTGTTAATGGCGTAATAGTTTGGAGCTTTAAGGTTGTTTCTCCAACTAAAAACAAAACAAAACAAAACTTGTTACATTAGCCAAATTACATGTGAAATTGATCCTTTGGTTAATGTTGCCAAAGAACATACCCCTGATTCCTAGCATTATCCTGTTAAGATTGTTGTCACTTGGTCATAAAGAATAACATACAGATGCTCTCTCTCTCTCTCTCATTTTACCTTGTTATTGCCACTTCCTAGTTTTGAACTTGTTTCTTTTTCTTTTTCTTTCTCTCTCTCATTTTACCTTGTTATTGCCACTTCCTAGTTTTGAACTTGTTTCTTTTTCTTTTTCTTTTGCAAGAATTTATCATTCCTTAGAAATCCAGCGACCCTTGACTGCAACGTAGTGGATAGATAGATCCCTACCATTTACTGAGAAATATATTGTAGACCTCATTGAAGAAGGGTGATAATAAACTTGGGAGATGAAGAAGAGCAAATCTTTCTTTCTTTTTCTTTTCTTTTTTTGGAATAATAGAAGTTAAAACTCCCGATCCTCAACCACAAGCAATAGCCCAAACTTCCTTTTGAGAAAATGTGATTTAGTAGTTTATTGAAGCTACTTGGATTATTGTATACTTTTCCTTTTTCTTTAGCTATTTGACAATGAAGTTTTGTAGTGATCTAAGGCCTCTAACAAAAGTTATCTTGATCATATTCAATGTGATACATGGAGTTATCAAAACTTCTCAACCTTTTGATGGAGGAAAACTTTGCCCCCTTTCACGACACAAATGTCTCAAAAATGTTACATCATGTAAGTGGCATACGAGCCATATTTGAAACACCATGTTTCATAAAATGTGGACAAGTTTTTCTCCTTTAGAGTAGGGTGTAGACAATTTTTTGTCCTTTACAATATGGATCAATCATACTAACATGGAAAAGAGTTGGTTGGATTAGTGTCAACACATGAGTGCCACGATTTTGGCATGATAAATTTGTTAACTTGTATGAAGAAACTGTCTTTTTCATTTTCTACAAGATTGATTATATTGTAATTGAATTTGAATCAGCATAAATTGATATCGTTCAGATATAACGCACATCAAATTTATTATATTTTTAAATAAAATAATAAATGCTTATTTATGTACATGTCCCTTGTGCTTTTAAAGTTGTCTCAAATTACCATATGTTTTTTAAAACGTCTCAAAATACCCCTTACACTTTTTAAAATTGTCTTACGTTAACCGTTCCATCAGTATTAAGAGACGTTTCATTACTTGGTTTGGGCCTCACGTCTTTTCAATCGCTTAACATTGGAGAATAAGGGTTATTCAATTTCAAAAAAGGGGGTATTTGGGTGAGAAGGGGAAATTTGGAGAAGAAGGCTAGGGCTTATGAAAATTTGAGGTGGAGTTCGGATTTTGGGAGAATCTGAAGAAGAAATTACGGGTTTATAAAACTCTTAGGTGGAGTTCGAAATTTGGAGAATATGGAGTAGAAGATTATGGTTTATGAATCTCTGAGTGGAGTTCGGATTTGGGAAAGAGGTAAAGAGGTTGTACGATTTATGAGAAAAGAGGGAAGGGGGATTTCAGATTTGGAGGTTCAGCTGGTTCTTCTGTGTGTGAATATTGACTGAATTGACGAAGAGATGGAAACAGGAGAAGCAAGACATGCCCAATGATGTCATTGTGGGAAGTTAGCATAGATGCAGACTTCGTGGACCACTTCAAACTCAGGGTAGAGATTTCTAGTCTGCTCAAAGTCTTTTTGAATGATTTGAATATTGTGGAATTATAGATTCTGCAATTGGTTAGTTTTATAAGACTTTAATAGTGAGTTCTCCAAGTCAGTCATTCATTTGCATGTATTTAAATTTGCTTAAATTATTTTTTAATAGTGAGTTCTCCAAGCATCAATGATCAGCATTAAGCCACGTGAGCGCGAAGACTCATCTTCAATCAAACATTAAAAACAAATAAAATATTGAGATGGGCCACCAGATATGAGAACCGTCCATGGTAGACGTACAGCGGGTGGGCCCAGACGAATATGGAGCCCAATCTTTTCTTGTGCCTTCCCATCTCGATCGGAGCAACTAACCCAACTTGGGGACTGGGGAGTGCAAATGTGGGCCCAATCCAAACATCAAATCCCCCCAAGTGTTAGCCGGTGGACCCTACAATCTCCACCACATCTCTCGGTGCACGCGACCTCATCGCCCAGCCATTGACAGCTTCAACGATGGCCCACCCTCCACGGGGAGGGATCACATCTTTCTCGTTGATGCCCCCACCCCCATCAACGCCCGCACAACGAGCGTGGCTTCCACGTCCGAAACAGAAACGCGTTGACGAGGGAAGTACTGCCGACGTCGTTTTGAAGAGGGTGGGAGATGCGAGGGTTTGGATAAACTAAGGGTTTGGGCCCACCATTTCTAGGTGGACCACACCACACACAAACAGAGCCCCAGCCAGCCAGCCAGGCTGAACGAACTCCCTGCCTACTCCGAACACGTAACACGTGTGACCTTTCCTCACAGGTGTGCGTACGGTCCGACCCGGAAACAAAAGGTAGCCGAAAAAGAGTTCACACACAGTTAGCTTCCACCACCTCCGCCAGTACACTACTACACTCGCCAACGCCATTTATTTGCATGAAGATAATTTTATCATGCATTATTTCATTATTTGGTTTTTATAAAAATTATTTAATCTAAAATAAAAAATAAAAAATAAAAAAAGTTATGAGCATGGTGGATTGGGTTGAGGCATACAAGTTTTGAGAGAGGAAATCAGAACCAAATAAACGAAAATTGACAAAGCAAAACAACAAAAACCCAATAATAATTTTTTTGGTTTTCTAAATTCTTTTTTATTTTGAATTTGCAGCTGTTTCATCAGCTCTGATCAAATTCCGAACACTAAGAAAAAGCTCGCTAAACTCACTTCACTCACTCACTCTCTCATGGCGGTTTTGCAATCACTGGGTTTGATGTTGATGAGTTGTTGGCGGGTCGACGGGTCGACCCATGAACTGCAACTCCTGCTTGTCGTAAATTTCAAGAGAAAAATCTCTCAACATCTGAGCCTTGCTCGCACCACTCCCACTACCGTTACTGTTGTTACTCGACGAGCTCACGCTCGGCGCCATTGTCGTCGACGACCTCTTCGCCGCCCTCGGCCCCACCGTGCTCGTACTCACCGCTGAGTTTGACAGTGCCGGCGACGGAGCCCGAACCTCCACTCCTCCTCCGTTATTCGCCACAAAACTCGATACGGGCCGGGTAGCCCCAGCCACGTTGAAAACCGGCGTCACCGTCGGCGACAGGGCCCATATCTGCGGTTGTGGGCCGGACGGTCCCCCACCCGAGCCCACCGGGCCCATCCAGAACGCATTCGCTGGGACCATCAGCCCGGCGCCGCCCACCGCCCAGACCGGAACCAGGCCTTGTGGCGCCGCGGGCCCCACCGGAGCCAGACCCGACGACTGCGAAACGGCGTCGTTCTTCACGTCCACGAACTCGGAATTCGAGGGGCGTTTTCGCTTCTTGGTCGTGGAGGAAGGCGAGGAGTTGTCGTCGGCCGAAGTGGAGGCCGTGGTGGGGATCTTGAGGGTCCCACCGACGGAGACGGCGATGGCGGGAACGGTGCCGGTGCCGGTGGCCTCGATGATGGCTTCCTCGGCGTGTTCAAGGAGCCACCGGACGGTTTCGCCGTCAGACTTGTGGCCCAGCTCCCGGGTTAGCTGGAAGATCCGGGCCGCGCACGTGGCGGGTATTCTGATCCTCCGCCCGCGTCCCTCGACTTTCGTGTGGCGGTCCTTGGTAGAGGCCCGTCGGGTCGGGTTGGAAACGGGTACAGCCACGGACATGGGCATTTGCATCCCCACCGGAACCATGCCGATGGAGTGAGCCTGCGGCGGAGGGTCGGAGTCAATGGGCTCCTCCTTCAGCTGCTGAAACGCCGTCGTCTCGTCGAAGTTGGGTTGCGTCGAAACGACCCCGTTTCCGTTGTTGTTGTTGTCTTCGGGGTCGCCGGTGCTGGTGCTGAGATCGGATATGCCTCCGTCGTCGTCTTGATCCTCCAAATACGACGTCATTTTCGGAGACCAAAAATAACAAAACGAAAAGAGAGTCAGTGACGCAGATGGGTTTTCGGTTCGAAGAGGGAGAAGAATTGGACCGTTTGGTTCGAGAAAATCTGCGGGAAAATGATTAGGGTTTTGATCAGCTTCGTGTGTTTTGGAGAGACGAAGTGAAAGGCGAAGGCTTTATCTCCATAATCCGTAGACGGGACGGGAGAGAAGGAAGCATGAAGAAATGAAACTGTGAAAATGTAACGGAAAGAGAGAAATTAAAAGGAAAAAAAAAAGGAATTGGGGAAGAAATAACAAATAACAATAAGGGAGCCCCCACTGCCCCACTGTTTGGAATTTTACAAGCACAATGAGATCATGATGATCGTAGGGTGGAGGAGGGGGCCACGTTTTAGGGACCTATTTGGGTGGGCCACGGCAAATGACGTGTTCCAATCGGTGGTGGTGGACCACTGAGGCCTCAGCCAATCGGATCAAAGAGATGGAGTCACTCAGAAAGGTCTGGAAAAATGCTTCAGTGGATTTCATTGGTAATTGGTTGGCACTTGGCAATTTGGCCGCATCGCCCCATTTACTGTGGTCCATCACCCAAATACAAAGCCTAAAGTCCTTCTTGCCTTTTTAAAATTTTCCTTTTGAGCCAAACCAATGTTAGAAGGACCATAATTAATAATAAAAACGACCACAATTAAATATTTTTATTATTATTCATCAATGGAAAGTTGAACTCCAACTAAGACATCCTTTTAACAATAGAAATCATAAACCAACTTCTCTAAATGTTAAAACGATAAACCAGCTTATTTAAACATTAGAACGATAAATATCAGTAAATTAAAAGTTAATTGACGTATAATAATTTAGAGATACAATACTTATCGGAAAATAAATCACTCCATCTTTTTTATTATTTATAAAAACGATAATTTAAATTCTAACTCCAACTTAAATATGTTATTTGAGTCACAAAATATGTTAGACCTATTCTTTGGCAAGATGGAGTAGTGGTCGAATGGGTAGAGCCAAAAATGGGATTTTATTTATTGACCGTTAAATCTGTTTGAGTGACTGTGTTGACTCGCCGGCAAGGAGTAAAGTTGATGAGCTCCCTTTTTATCCCCCACACCTAGTTAACATTGTTTTCGGTGATTAATACGCTAATTACATTTCTTACCCGTTTTAGCGGCTCACACCGCCATCATAAATTCGTAGTTTTCCTAGAATGGAGTATATTCATAAGCTAATTGTGCACAAATCTCAATTATGCAATCCAATTATCCAGATTCCATAGAATATTCGTGTGGTTGGTTCCCTTCTCAGCGTCACCATCCCAACCTTGGGCTCTAGCAGTCTATACAGTGATATTTGACCACACTGCCACGGGTTTGACTGGCCTCATCATATTTGTCTCATGCCCTTCCATTCTCACAAGTTACAAACACAATCTGCAAAAGGTAAGGTGCTCTAGTAGAAAGCCTTTTAGCTTCACAAAATTGACTCCGCAAAAGTTGAGAGGATTTCGCTAACGTCAGTTGTCCACACATGAGTGAGTTTACTTGTCACAGGATATATCCCATCCCTATTACATGGAAACTCTTCTACCACAATACATCAACATGCATCAACAGCTAAGAGCTTGCCCTCTCACACATGGACAACTGACTCGAGCATCGCTCTAGGTAGCTGGTTGTATGCATGTATGTCAAGACTCTCTCAACTCTCAACCCAAGGCCGTAACTCGTAATCATACTGAAATAGTATACTTTTCATCAGAGTCGGTGTCAGCCCTCTCCCATTTCAGAGATGGGCTTATGTCAATTACTTTGACTCTGGTACAATCTGACAATCATGGGTGATGGGGGATGATGATGCTCAGTTTGCTCACAACACTTTCTTGGTTTTTAACAATCGCGAAACTAATTTTTATTGAACAATTTATTATCAAAACGGAAAAAAATAACAATTTTAACCTGTCAACGCTTGCTGCGAAACAAACTATTTGCTTTTAACATACAAACTTAATGGAAGCTGGAGATGTAAGATGTTCTGCTTTACGAGTTACAACTGACATCTAATAACATAAATGCCTATTTGGCATTTACAGACTTGGATATGTTCATCAGTGACCGTTGGCAACCACTCCATTCTCATTGGAGGTGACGGCAGCAGTACTGCCTCCTTCCTTCTTGGCATAGAATCTCCGGTACTTAGAGTCGACTTCAGTAAGATAGTATGTGCCTGGAAGTAGAAGGCTAATGTCCTGGTTTGTCACAAAGTCTTTGCCTCCATACCTGTGCTCCATGATCTTCATAACTTCAACAAACTTCTCGGGAGGGAACTGCATCAAAGACACATGTAGAATAAATAAATTGCATCCCACAGTGACTTTCATGTGATGAATTTGCGCGAAGCCCCAGTGGTATTATGCATTGCATCATCATGACATGCATCTATCTTCAACCCTGATTTTACCTCCACTACGATATTACCACTTATACCCAGGCAAGGTGATGAAGCAAGCTAAAGGTTCAGGGCAACGGAAAAATGATGTCCGTGTTCCCAAGGATTTTAAATTTTAATACAGCAATTTCAGAACCGAAGTAGCAAGTTGCATAATTTATTGGAATCACATTGTAAATCCGGATTATGATTTAAGGAGGCAAGCATTTATTTGAGAGCAAACAAGTTTGTTCGTCTCTGAATGATATGTCATAAAACTATGCTTATGGAAAAGGGATGAAGAAACAAGTACCTCATGTCTTGACTTCAACTTTTCTCCAACATTCAACACTGCTGCAATGTTCCCCAAGCTAAAGGGATGTTGACCGGCATTTAGGCGCAATGAGAACATAGTAGCAGTAGAGCCACTTCCATAAGAGAAGAGTATCACCCGCTTGCCATCCTGTTATCAAATACAATTTATGAGACCATATATTTTCAGGTGAAGAAGTCGAGCCTTTTGGATAAGAAATTTAGGGCACTTACCAATGAGCTGTGCTTATTATGGAGGAGCGATACAAATGCCGCATAAAGAGATGCAGTGTACATGTTCCCAACTTGCTTTGGTACCAAAGTTGTTGGTTGCACCTTAGCGTCATATAGGGGCTTTGCAACTTGCTGGGATACCTGTATTTAAATATATTAAATAAAGATCATCAGCAAGAATTTAAAAACTATGCTAGCAGTTAGTTTGGTAGCTCTATAAGAAGGTTTTAACTATACCTTTTCAAGATCCCGGCTTTGGTAGCTCTCATCACCAGGTAGGCTCGCAAATGGGGCCAGCTTTTCTGTAGCGGCCTCATCAATGGAGCTGCGTATGGAAGGAAATGAAATAAATCACCAAGCAAACATACATTAAGAATAAATTTCCAGAAGGCATTGTGATTTTTAAAGAGATCAAGGAAAAACAAGAAACCTGGCATTCCTCACGGAGTCATTGAATACCAAACGGGCAAAGCTTTTTTGTACAAGCTGCAATAAGTCAAAAGAAAAAATTAATTTTTTAAATGGAAAAGAAAACATTCAATATTTCAATTGTAAACCAGAAAGAGGGATCAGTTGCAATATCTGAAGTCATAAGAAACTATACCTTGTTATAAGGAGAATGAAATACGAAATACTCGGCATCAGCCAGAGAAAATTGTTTGCCTTCCAATTTCTCATACCTATAGAAGGCGAGAAAGCAATTAGACATATACAAAGGGACAAATAATAGAAAACAAATTAGAATCAATTCAGTATTTATATAGGAACTCACTTTTTACATAATTCCTTGTAGCAAGAATCGAGAGCCTTCAAATAGCATGTTTGAGAAAGTTTTCCATCAACAACCTGCAAATATGAAAATTTTATGATTATACAGTGATAAGAAAGAAAAGTAAGGCATCGCTCAGATTTAAATATCACTAGCCCTAACTCAATTTGGATCCAAAGAAACAATCAGGAAAAAGAAAACAAAAAGCAACATATGACTCATGTTTATGTCAAAAATAGTAGCAAGGATTACCGGATATTCACTAGCAAGGTCAGGCTTGTAAAAATCATAGACGTGAGCCATATGACTTCCCCTAATTTTGCTTTCAAAAGCAATAGGAGCATCAGGTCCAATCAGCAAAGCAATAGCAGCTGCTCCACCAGTCGGTCGGGCCGGTCCTTCTGCATAGACCTGATAGATAACACCTCCAATAAGATAAATAGAATAAAAACTGACATAAATGGCTGTCTAACTCTGATGTTGAAGTGAATCAGTATTTTGACTTGTATGGCACAAACAACACGAGTTTGACTATCAAAATTAAGATAACAGAATTGCATCTCTGATTCAGAAGTATTTGCTGTTATCGACATTAGCCCAAGGCAATATAAATGTTCATACCGCACTGTCAGTGCACACGACAAGCCCATAGCGTCCATCCCACGAGCTACTCTCCACCCAATTCACACAGTTGAATAAAGCTGCAGTTCCCCCATAGCATGCATTAGTTGAGTCGACACCTTCAATGTCAGTATTTCCATGTTTCTGCATGTGTAACATGAGAAAGAAAGTGTCAAAAAATTTCATGGACATCAGCTCAAGATAAGGCATAAAATAGCATACCAAACAAAACTCTTATTAAAAGCAGAATAATGACAGAACATACAGGTAAACCTAAAAGGTGTTGAAAAACAAGCATTGCAATTTGAACCAAGGGCCAAAAACAACCCAAGCTAGTTGTAAGTTGTTTTGGCCAACTATGCCTTTCACCACTTGATAAAACCAACTTTTGCCTTCTAACATGTCTCAGTTTCCATATACTAAAAGGGTTGCCATATTTTGAGCCAACATTAACTGTTTGAATAATGTTTATCACTTGTACCTCATCTGACATTCTAGTCCTCTAACATATTTAACTTTTCACTCATCATACTCTATCCACCGAAAAACAGAATCAAGACAAAATGTATCTAAATCATAAGGACAATACCTCAAAAATTGTCATCAGGAAGGTCTTAATAGATTTGCTTTTGTCTATGACAGTTTCGCTGCCTACTTCCAGCCGACCAATTTGTTTTGGATCAATCCCATATTTCTCAAGAAGGGAGGTAACCACTGTCAAACTGAAAATTCAAACCCAAAAGTTAATGAGTACAGAGTCTCAACAAGATGCTACCCGGAAAGGAATTGATAGCAATTACGACCATCATGTCCAAACTGGGTTAGAAGGTTCCCATTGTTAATGCAGGTTTTCATTTTGAATCATCAGCTTTCCATGGTTGAAGTCAGACACTTTTCATATCGATGTGCTCTTAAAATCTTCTAATTAATATTAAATGAAATGGCAAGTGGGGAGTAACACAATGTGTAAGTTACAAAAATATTGATGATTGGATGTAGAACTAGTACCTCATGGAGATGACATCTTCCACCTCTGAACAAAACGCCATGCAATCTTGTCCAAGTCCGATAGTGTACTTTCCTTTGCTTGCACCATCGTGAGCCTCCAAGGCTTCCTATTTTTCATAAAGAATGAAAGAGTTGATTAGTTGATGGACATCTAACTAGTTTGGTTTACAAGACTTCATGATGCACATATCAATATAAACACTGCAGGGAATTGTAGCTTGGAGCAAGATAAGCTTCTAACACCCTACTGCTCCTTGTGTTTGCGTATGTTGGCAACTGAGATACATGTTCAAATAATTTCTGGAAAATAATTTCTGGAAATTTAATCCCAGAAAGAAAAATCTCTCACTTGAAGTTTATATCTTTTTTATCCAGAAAAAGCATGGACATATCTAGACCTTTTCTTTTTCTTTGTTGGTTAGTGCATGAGAAAATTCATTAGTATATATTTTTTCCTTTGGTTCAGAAATTAGTAGAATTAGATAGTCTACAAAGTAGCCTCTGTTTCCAATCAGAGCATACAAATGTATAGTCACACTGCCTATAAGTCAAACTCTGAACAACAAGCAAAGCTAAGAAACATTATGCAGATCATCAACATACAGTTAAGTTCTTAAATGAAAAGAAGAATTTAAACACAGTGTAATTTTTTTCCCCCAATTCCAGATCAAAATGTCTAATGATAATACTTCACACGTTAACAGAAAAAGAAAAACGGGTCCAGAATACTTTGAAATTAACTCTAAGAAGATCATCAAATTTTCTAGTAGTTCAGAATCGTTTTTTCTTTTTTTCAAAAAAAATTAAAACAACTACTTAACCAGCTGAGCTATTTTCTCTCTCTCTCTTTTCCTGATCAACAAAAACAAGCGAAAAACAAATCCGAAACGATTTTTTATTTCCATTTCCTCATTTTCTCACTTCTCCAAGCAACGAAAACTGGAAATTCCACAAATATATATATATTGAAATTTTTGACAAAATCGAAATTGATTATAAATAAAAAACGAAAATATAGAGTGTGCGAGGGATCGTCACCTGCTGAATACAGGTAGGGGGGAAGTAGATGTCGGCGGCGAGAATTCCAACGTTCTTGGCCATTTCTTTCTCCGGTGCTTCTTCTTCTTCTTCCTCGCGAGTCACTTCAAATGAAATCCCTCACCAAAATATCTGGAAGATCCCAAAATGCCTTCCGCTGTCTCTAGCTGTTGGTCAAGCTGAGCTTAGGAAGAGAACGAGAGAGATAAATGGGAGTCTCGCACAGAATCCAAGGAATTCGCAGAGAGAGAGAGAGAGAGAGAGAGAGAGAGAGAGATGTATGGAGGTGTGGAGGTGCTTTACGTTTGGGAGGCTTCGCTGGGTATATATAGGGAAGAGACCTCGCTCTCTCGCTCTCTCGCTCTCTCTCTCTTCAGAGTTGCCAAAATGCAGACTTCGTGAGCTTCGTGCACATTTGATGAGATGGAGGGCGCCTTCTATCTTTGACTGCCAACTTTCGTTAAATTTACTCCCCTTGCCCCTATGTCACGATGACAAACGGCATCCCACGCTGGTTTTTTATTTTGTTAATTCACAAGGCCACCTCAAATCATTTCTCACCCCAAAAGGCTTTTTTTTCTTTTTAATTTTCAAAAAAATACTAAGTAACTCATATGCAGATAATCACTTTTTAAAAAAAATGGGGGATTAACCAATAAACACATAAAAATTAAATGATAGAGACCATACGAGTTTTAGAAATTCTTAATAAATCATCATCAAAAGTAGCATCAACTTAACTAGGAATCTCATCAAGCACTTAAGTTACAAATTTCTTATCAATTTTCCTTTATTTTACTTTTAACAAACTGAGACGAGCTGCAAAGAATTTGTTAACTCAAGCAATTTAGAGTATTTACCTCTGCCAATGAAATTAAGTGTCCTGCCAGGAAAGCTCCTAGACTATCACCAATCTTTTGTAACTTTCTTCCAACTTATTTTCAACTTCAACATTTTTCCTTTTTTTTTTTCTAAAGACAACTGTAACTTCTAAATATAGCCAAATAATGGGAAGAAGTAACAAGTTGGGGGAAGAAATGTTCCAACAACGTTATTCTTACCACATTTGTATACCATATTTTTATACCATCTTATGTGGCAGCTGAGATGGACAGCCACATCAATTAAAATTATTTAATATTTTCTTTTCTTTTATGATTTATTCCAGTATTTGTTTTTCTAATTGCCTTAATTAAAATACACTTAATTGATTTAATTGATGTGGCATATAATATAGACATTCCACATCATGTGGTATAGAAATATGGGATACAAATGTGGTAAGTGTAGCATTACTCTTGTTAATATTATAAAAATAGCTATTGCTAGTTGTCAATGTCACGAGTCACGACCTAGCCTCAACCAAATGGAGACTCCTTAAAAGCACATTAAATACCAATAGGAGACTTTGGAAAAACACAAAGGAGAGAGAAATTTTGTAAAAGAAGCCAAAATGGACAAAATTGCCCTTATTTATTTTTGGATTTCCTAAGGAATCCTTTAAATTTGCATGTCTTTGATTTGAAAGTTGAGAGGTTTTTCTATCTTTTTTTTTAAAAGCTTTGGCTTTTTCCAAAAGTGAAAATTTTTTTTTGGCTAAAACTTAAATTTACTAATACCCAATGGGCGACATGTAGTCTCATGCGTTTGTAATACATATTTGCTCACCGTTTTAACCTAAAGCGTACTATTATAATCTTTTTTAAAATTTGACATGTATTTTTGTGCATAACCATGATTCCACAAATACAAATCAGAGAGTTAATTATAATTATGCGTATAAATACGTGTCAAATATTGAGAATAATGATGTAAGTACGTCTTAATGACCACAAAATATTTCCATGTGTTTAGACTTCAAACCAACTCATTACAGCTATGTTCTGTTGCAACTCTTGCAATGAATGAATAAGCTCCAATGGTGTATCAAGTAATGACTTTTTCATAGTTTAGTATTTGTGCCAACTAGACCCATTGTACACCTGGACTTCCATGTCACCAACTCGTCCCATTGGACACCTGGACTTCCACGTCACCAATCATGCTATCACCACCTCTAATATTCATTACATTGTGGTGGATAAAATTACCCTTGTGTCCTTTAGTGTTTTTGAATTTTTGTGTGAAGATTTATTTGATATTTTCATTGACTCACATGTGGCCACCCAAACGTTTTGTGCTTGACACCTCTGACTGTAGACAGAGACACTCTCAAGTCTCAACAACCCCTCTGGATTCCCTGGACCGTCGGATTGTGATTCCCCGCAACAACATGCACTATTTGCACAAGTAAACTCTTTTGGGTTAATGATCCTAAATTCCAATCAACTACATCTTACATGGTATGGTGGTCCCCACAAAGTTGTGAGTAATTTACATTATTAAATCTGAAAGGGTCTCCGCCGTTGATCTTGTTGGTTGTCCACATTACTAAATATAATAATATCTTTTGGGCGTGGCCTACTGCTATTTTGGTGCAATAAACACAAGTGTTTGGTTAGACAACCAAATTTGACTTTTATAAATTTATAATGTGCAAGAAAGAGGAGGGATTTGCCAATTTCAACTTTCTCTTTTATTTATTTTTTTAATTAGTTTTTGCTCCTATAACAATAAAATATAATACAATTTTGTGACAAACTCATTTGCCTTATTACCTAATTCCCAAAATTATTATAAGATTTTGTTCCACTCCCATCATCTTTTGGAGTATACTTTCTATTTATCAAGATATCTAGTTCTTTAATTTCGGCATGTTTATCGGGAAGCAAACTTTGTACCATATACTTTGGCACCGCCAGGCCATGATTAAACCCAACTTTCCATTTGGTTCTCTAATTTTTCCTTTTCAGGTGGTTTGTAAAGTTTTATATGATTTTCGAAGTTTAGGAATTCGATATGAATTCTTTGTTTTAATTTTTGTTTTAATTTTTAAATTTCAAATAAAGTAGTTCCTCATTCGTGGGAATCATGATGTGATTTTCTGGCTTTTGCAACCGCGGGACAAAGACTTGGTGCCAATTTGTACGTCCTCCTTGGGTCATGGCCAATAATCCACCGTTGGATGAGTAAAAAGGGATTAATTATCGGGTGGGGGCCGTCCCCATTGTAGTTGGACTGGGCATCAGAGCACGTGGGTGTGCAGATAAGTGACCCGCCGTCGTACCACGTTTTTATTATTCAACACAATATAAACAAACTTACATAAAAACAATTAAAAGTTGTTAAATAATTATATCGAACAAAGAAAGACACTGCATACGTGTATTATTAATTGAAAGTCCCTCGTGATCTCTTTATTGAATAAATGACTACACTAATCAATAAGCTACACCCTCTGTCTAGCTTAATGAAAAAAAGTGTCTTCGCTTGCACACCGGATTAGTGGTCTCAAATTCAAAATTTCATGATATCTTAGTAGTATGTGTGTGAGAAACTTTTATCTTCTATAATTTAAATTATCATTTGTATGTAAAAAGATAATATTCAATAAGCTATAGTTAGGGACTTATCACAAAAACTTTTTTTTTATAAAAAAAAGGTTCAACTAGGTTATTTTGGGATCTCGAACCTCTACATTTAGCATTCCTGCATTTACACGCATTTAAAGAGATCTTGACCATTAAATTGATCTAATGAATTTTAATAAGTCCACATCGTCATAATTGTATATCAAAACTCATCATTTGCACCTTATTATACTAGTCTCTTCGCACGCGCTTTTCGTGCATGCGATAGGCTTTTTTTTAAGAAATTTTTAAATTTATTTTAGAATTAAAAAAAGATAACGGGTAGTTGTGTTCCATAAAAATAGGATCCATTATCTGATTTTTCTTTTAATTTTAATTTTTCTGGTATTTTAAATATTTTATCATTCTCTGTCTTTTGTCTTATATACATAGATGTATATCTTTAAAATTAAAAATTAAAAATTAAAAACTCCCATCAAACATCAACCACCTTCCTCTCCAACCCAGCCCTTATACTGCCCGCCAATTGCCGCTACCTCTCACTCTCTTTTCTTCTCTCACACACACACCTTCACTAGGTCCTATAGTTGGTAGGCACCTCTAGGATTTTCAATTGCAGTATAATTTTGAAGTACTTGCTTGCTGTTGAGACAAGAATTCAATGTTAAATACTACGATAGTACTATAGATGGCATAGAGAGAGGTGGTGGCCATGGCTAATAGCAATCGGTGAGAGTGGTTTAGGGTTGGGCTGGGTAGGGGCTGGGTTGGGGGCTGAGACTATTATTTTGTATTTTTAATATTTTATTTTAAAGGTATTATATACATATAAGGTGTAAAGAGATGCTGAGATGTGGACTTGTTAAAATTCATTAGATCAATCTAATGTTTAACATCCCTCTAAATACGTGTAAATGCACAGATGCTAAATACAAATGCTCGAAATCCACTATTTTAATATGAAAAATAGTAATGTTTCAATGTTGGTTTGTAATTTCATAGCTTGGAAGAGTTCATACCATAATTTGCTCAAATTCATCAATATATATTTATCATAAAAACCCATCAATATTAACATCAAATTTGTTCATCATCTTAACCATTACCAACGCACCAAGTTTCTTTATTTCGTAAATTTGACTCTTCTCCTTCAAATTAATATTTTCTTAGTTACAACCCATCATTTTATTTTTTTATAAATAAAACCCGAACCCTATACACGTTACACCACGATTTTGAATCAGAAGAGAGATTTCAAGAAATGTCAGATCCATTCACTCTATCAATAACCGAGCCGGATCTGGTGTATCATAAGGGATTTGCTTTCTCTATTGGATTGGGTCAAACAATTCTTGAATGAGGTATTCAACTCCAAGGATGAATCGAAAAAGAAATCTTTATTGGTTCTACCTATTTTTTATGAAGAGAATGAATCTTTTTATCGAAGGATCAGAAAAAAATGGGTCTGGACCTCCTGCGGGAATGATTTGGAAGATCCAAAACCAAAAATAGTGGTATTTGCTAGCAACAACATAATGGAGGCAGTCAATCAATATAGATTGATCCGAAATTTGATTCAAATCCAATATAGCA